CTGTCTAGTTAGTTTGATTGTTCACTGAATTTGTGAAGCCATAAATCTGAACAAAAGAAGACTGTATATTTTCCTCCTGAGCTTCTGCTAGTGGATTCAGACCACCAGAGATGTTCAGCCTTTTGGTTAGCTGTCCAATAGGCTGTGGACGTCCCCACAGGCTGTGGGTAGTGGCCCTTCATTAATATTCCTTGGGTAATGCAGTCATCTTGAAAATCTTCATCATTTTCATTTTTACCTTGAACTCATAAATTATTCTACAGATGTTCCCCAACCATCATCCAGGGTTCCTCTGGGATCTTTCTACCTGGACCAGCTAAACTTTTATCTACTTTTTTAATATTCTCCTTCTGAGATACTGAGAAGGAGCCCTACAGAGAGGTTCCTGCTGCGTGCCATGGCTAGGGCCTGAAGATTAGAGAGAATCCAATATGTGCTTTCCCCAAAACCGATGCCTTACTGTAATTCAACTTCTAATTTTGCACAACTATGCTCAGGTAGAAAGAGCCCTGGGGGAATATCACTTACAATAAGTGGAGGCCAACTTGAAGGTCAGTTGTTGAACCCCATGGGCCATTCAACTAGAGAAAGACAAGGCAATCTACACCTATAGATATTATAAGCTCAGAAACCCTATAGAGTAGCTCTACTCTGCCAATCAAAGTCATTAGAAGTTGGAATCAAGTTGATGGCAGGGAGTATGTTCTGGTGGCACAAAAGTTAAACGTCTGGCTGCAAACTCAAAGGTTTAAGGTTCAAAATTCACCCAGATGCTTTTTAAAATAAAAAAAAATCTGTTGATCTGTTTCAATAAAAATTGTTGTTAGATGTTGCTAAGGCAGTTACAACTCTTAACAAATCTGTAACAGAAGAAAACACTTCCTGCTCCTCAAAATTATTGCTCCGTTTGAAGTCACGGTCATTCTGTTAATCCATCTAGTCAAGGATCTTGTTCTTTATCACTGAGCCCCTCTTTTACCAAGCATGGTGTCCTTCTCAAGGCACTGATATTCTTGATAATAGGTCCAAAGGACTTGAAAAGTCTCACCATCCTCTCTTTTAAGGAGATCTGACCGAACATGTTTCAAAACGTTTGTTTGTCTTTCTGATAGTCCACACAATATTTAGATATTTAATATTTCTAGCAAATATCCTAACTCCAATGTATCCATTTTCCTTAAAACTTCCTTTTTCTTTGTCCTGCTTTCACATGCATAAGAGACGATTGAAAACACTAGGTTCAGTTTAATCTTCAAAGTGATATCTTTGTGTCTTCACACTTGAACATGGTTTTCTGTAGCAGACTTTCCCACTGCAAGAAGCCTTTTGATTTATTGAATGCTACTTCCAAGGGCAATAAGTATAGATCCAAATAAAATGATCTTTTACAACCTCAATCTCTTTTATGTTTGTTGTGGTGTTATTTACTGGAACATTCGTGAGGATTTCAGGTGAGATATGATTTATATTGAAAGCTGAAGTCTTTCATCTTCATCCAATTCCCTTCATCTTCAGTAACTTTGGCATAGAGTCTCAGTTGTTGTTGTTGTTAGGTGCTATCAAGTCAAGCATGACTAGTAACAACACTATGAACAACAGATCTGAAACCTGTCCTATCCTATGTCAACTTCACTATCTCTGACACATTCAAGCCCATTTCTGCAATCACTGTGCCAATCCACCTGATTGAGGGTCTTCCTCTCCTTTGTTGACCATCCCACCTTCCCAAGCATGATGTCCCTCTCCTAGGAATAGCTTTTTCTATCAATATGCCCAAAGTATGCAATATGAAGCTTCATCATTCTTACCCTCAAGGAGCACTCTGGTTGCACCTTCTTCAAGACATATATCCATTCTTTTGGCAGTCCATGGATATTCAACACTATTATCCAATACTACAGTTCAAAGGCATCAATTTTTCTTCTGTCATCCATATTCATTGTCCAGGACTCAGATGCATATCAAGTGATTGAAAAGACCATGATCTGAGTCAAGCATATCTTAGTCCTCAAACTAACATCATTGAGCCTCAGTAATTTGGAGAGGTCTCTGACTGCAGACTTTCCCAGCGCAATACATCTCTTGATCTCCAAACTGCTGGTACCAAGTATATACATTATGGATCCAAGTAAGATTAAGTCATTAAAAGTTTCAGTCTTTTCTCCATCTATCATGATGCTGCTATCAGTTTAGTGGTAGAGAATTTTTATTTTCGTAATGTTGAGATACAATCCATATTTAAGGCTGCAGTGTTTGATCTTCTGCTGCAAGTATTTCAAGTCCTCTTCACTTTCAGCAAGCAAGGTTGTGTCATCTCATACCAAATATTAGGCAATAGATATTCATTAAATAGAGGAGGCTGAACAAGAGATCAAATAATATCTCTGAATTATTGTTCTTGTTATGTGCTGTCAAGTCACCTGTCCTGCACTGTCCCTCCGCCCTTCTGAGCATGATGCCCTTCTCCAAGTATCGGTCCTTCCTGGCCACATGCTCAAAGTATGTGAGACAAAGCTTCAAAATCTTAGCCTCCAAGGAAAAACTTTGTTTCAACCTCTCAAAGACAGACCTATCTGTCAGCAGCCTTCAATATGGATTGAGGCTCAATATCAAGAAAACAATGATTGTCACCGCTGGACCAATTGACAGCATCATAATAGATGGTGAAGAGATTGAGATTGTTCACAGCTTTAGTTTGGTTGGCTCCACAATCAACATTCTTGGCAACAGCATCCAGGAAATTCAAAGACATATTATGATGGGAAAGTCTGCTGTTAGAGACCTCTCTAAAGTACTAAAGAGTAACAATATCAGTCTGGAGACTAAGGTATGCCTGACATACTAAGGTATGTCATGGTCTTTGCAATAACTTACCATGCATCAGAAAGCTGGACAATGACTAGGGATGATAGAAGGAGAATTGATGCCTATGAGCTGTGGTGTTGGAGAAGAGTATTGAATATGCCATGGACTGCTAAGCAGGTTTGTCCTAGAGAGGGTGAAGCCAGGATGCTCCTTGGAGGCAAGGATTCTGAAGCTTCATCTGACATATTTGGGACATGTTGCAAGGGGTGACCAGTCTTTCAAGAGGGATGTCATGCTTGGGAGGGTGAAGGGACAGAACAGGAGAGGAAGACCATCTATGAGATGGATTGACTCAGTGACTGGGGTAATGAGGGGAGGTGTGTCTGAGACGTGAGATTGGCATAGGATAGAGTAGGGTTTTGAGCTGTTTTACGTAGGGTCACTATGAGTCGTAGGTGACTCGATAGCACATAACAACAACAAGAGTTGATTGCAAACCATTTTCAACAACAGAAAGCCTTAATTAATTTTTCTTTTCTCCAAACAGATGAGCATCAGGGTAAACTATGAAGGGGAGAAGGCTTACGTGGGAAATTCAAGGACAATGTTTGGATGTTTCCACCTTCAATTTTGGGAACTAACACAGGAAAAAGAAAAATTAGATAGAGATGTAAAAAAGAGAAGGTAGACACGATGACTCAAATCAGTGGGAATGGAAGCATTCACTTATTATGCTCTTCCCCTAGTAGACTGTGGGGTCTTCAGGAGCAGGACCAGGGTTTGATCCTTTTTACATTCCAAAGGATGAGTGCAGGTCCTGGAGCATTGTAGAGATGTAGAAATGTCCTTTTTGTGAATTAATGAGCACTTCCGTAGTCCCTGATGCCACATTTAGTAAAGAAAGAGGTATCTTCGTCCAGTAATTGATGCCATTGGCTGTTTAAATGAGTCCTCAGTCTGTAAAACTCAGTCACTACTCAATCTTCAAGATGGTGATTGTGCATCATATCCAAAGTCAGTATGGGAAAAATTGTCAAAGTTAAACTCACAGTTAAAACTGAAAATCACTTAAAATTTCTTCTGGCATCTGTCTAATGGCACAAAATATTTTTCCGTCCTCTGCTATGTCCTGCCAACTGAGGAGGGGAAAAATGGGGGATTTACCAGGGCCATGAGCATGCCAAGTTTCGAATCGATCAACTGGCTGCATTCTCATCCCCACCCTTCACCATTCCCAGCCTCCTAAAGGGAATATATATTTAAGGGGGAACTAGAGTTTGGAAAAGAAACACCAGTCACTTGCAAATATCATCTGCTACATCCTCTGAGAGGTAAATATCCGGAATTCATGCTCTTTCTAGAGCACAGGGATGCCTAGTGACTTACTGGAAAGCAGTTGTGTTGAATGGGCGTGTGTATGTCCACAGATGTGAATAGATATGAAATGAAATGCAGGCGTATTCATGTGAATGACGGTTGTGCACAAGAGGATGCATTATGCAAGGGCATTTGGCAGTATGCAAGTATAGTATGTCAAACGATTCTTATACTAGTGTGTGAGAACAAAAGTGTGTGAACAAAAGTAGGTGAGAGACTTTATGTGTTTAAGTAGATGTATACGTGGAAGGGATTGGAAAGTTTCACAAAGAGAATATACTGCAAATAGGTGTGTATGTAAGACTCTAGAAACAGAATTTTCAAGTCTTGAATTCAGT